TGTTCCACTTACACTGCAACTCATTGTATGCAAAGCATACTCCTCTCCAGGGGTGGACTGACAACTCATGGGGCCCCCGGGCAATAGAAGATCATGGGGCTCCTGTGTCCTTGCCCAAACTCAAAAAAGCCTATGAAAAAGGTATTTGGGGCATCTCATGGGGCCCCCTACTGACCCCGGGCCCTCGGGCAGTGCCCGAGTTTCCAAATGGTCAGTCCGCCCCTGCATTTTGGGGATTAGAAATCGATTTATTAATAGTTTTCTGTTGTAAAATAAGGTTTAGCCATAGGCCGACATCTTGCATACCCCATTTTAACGATGGATGAATTGCCAACTTTTGACTAAATAACGCATCATAATTGAACCACCAAAATTTTTATAAGCTTCTAAAACGTAGTTCACATGTTAAAATAAACCGCTTCGTAAGTGTGGGTGTTTTTCAGCTATTTTACTATTATTAAATGCAAAAACTTTGCAACCAATTACAAAAGGTTCTCGGGATAAGCCTACACCTATCCTCATCTAATTTATCCTCAGATTTTTTTTTCGTATTTGAACATAAATTCCTTAGCTGATAGAAGAAGTGACAACACGTCTACAAAATCATCCTTCCATATTTTTTATTTAATGGAATTTGGTAAATGAAAACCAAGTGGGGAAACCTCACACGGTACGGCTTATTTAAAGCTTTTTTCTGGTACATACAACCTGTAGGAGCAGGAGGTACATTTTGGATCAATTCAGTAACAGGAGAAGAACAAATTGGATTAACATTAATAGAATCATTAGCACTTGTATTGTTATTTAAATTAGATATTGATTTAGCTATTTCAGATAAAGAACTAACTAAATTAGACATCATAGCTAGCTCGTTACATTCACCCTGAGCATGAGACTGCTATACTTCAGGTACTGAATTAACACTGCATCTGTCTGAGTGGCTCCGGTATCAGCCTGTCTACCAGAGCTGGACAGCTATTCAATATTAGATGTGGCTGAGGTAAGGTTCTCTGTCATCTGCACTAAGGCAGCACGCTACTTTTACCTAGAAACCAACAGTGGGGACGGTGGGGGAGAACAAACTGTTCCCTGCCTACCATTTGTGACCTGCCTCACCTACCACGAAAGCTGGACCTGGAGACTGAAGGGGAGAGGGACTGCCTTTTCTTCCTATTACGGTGACTGGGGCCAGCCTCCATGCCGTAATCTTCAGGACCGCTGTCACTCAAGCGCTGCTACTCCTCATGCCTAGACGTGAGCTCCTTTCCTCTCACAGGTAGATTACTCCACCACACATGGTGGCGGTAAACCTGCTCTTCTTGTATGCCCAACTCTCCCGGCTCCATCCCAGCTAGACGCTGTGAGTTCGGACCTCTTCCACAGCCACGATGCCTTCCACCTGCGCCTCTTCTTCTCTTCCCTTGGTAAGTGCTAAGCATGCTGGAGCCATGCTTCACCTCCACCTCTCTCCGCCCACTCCAACACTTGCCTAAGAAGCATCTTCATGACCGGCCGCAGTTCAGCTTTTTTGAATAGCAGGTTCGGTGTGAGGGAATTTTTTGCCTCCAAATTATTAAATAGGGTCTAGGAACCTTCCAGAAGATTCCAAGGATTCCCATTGGCTAGAATTCTTTACAGCAAATTACATTCCTTTTCTCTCAAAGTGCACGCCAAATATGTATATGCAAAAATTAAATTATAAACCATAGGAAACTCCTGTAAAACAGTGGCGGAGGGTGACCGCAGTCCCATGTAGGTGAGCCTAAAGAGCTGTGCCCCCCCCCCCCCCCCCCCCCCCCCCCGTTTTCATTGTTCGACAGAAACAAGTGATTTCTGTTGAACAGGAACAGCTACACAAGGATAGAAATTCTGCCAGTCCCTGCTGAACCGACCAAGTCAGGTATTGGTCACTTTCTAGCAGATTAGAAACATCTGCTGTCTTTATTTTTGAGGACTGGTAGGCAGAAAGACTGTGGTGCATGAGAGAATGTTATGAAAAGAGCTAAGATTTCTGTGCCTCTGTTGTGAACTTTAACCAGTTCCCGTCCGGCCCATGTAGATAAACGGCATGTGAGCGCTGAAGCGGGTGGACATTTCTAAAACATCCCCCCGCATCCTTTGCCTGTGCACGCTCAAAGATTTGGATGTATTTCCAAATTACTATTGTAATTTGTATTTCCAAATTACAATAGTAATGAATTTAAATAAATCTGAAATAACTAAACAAAATGATGTCTGAAATTCTAACCAAATTCAAAAATAAGAATAGAATAGAGTAAAACAGAACAGAATAAAATAGAAAATAGAAGACTAGACTAAAATAGAATAGAAAATAAGATAGACTAAAATAGAAAGAATAGAAAAGTAGAGAACAGAACATAATAGTTTATAAAATAAAAGAGAACAGCAAAACAATAGAATAGAATAAGATAAAAAGAATATAACAATCTTCCAAAATTCAAATAGAATTAATTCAAATTCGAATAAAATAGATTGTAATAGAAAAAAATAGAATATATAAGAAAAGAACAGAATAGAAAATAAAGGAATAGAATAGAAAATAATAGAATAGAATAGACAGAATATAACCATCTTCCAAAATTCAAAATATAATAGATTAGAATAGAAAATAATAGAGTAGAAAAGAATAATACAGAAAGTTAAATACAAGAAAAGAATAGAATGAAAAAACAATAGAATAAAATATAAATAATCTAACCGTCTTCTGAATTTCAAATAGAATACATTAGAATAGAATAGAAAATAATAGAATAGAATCAAATAGAAAGAATATGACTGTCTTACAATATTAAAATTTTAAATAGATTACATTTAAAAAGATTATAATAGAAAATAATATAATAGAATATAATAGAATAGAAAATAAAGAATAGAAAAGAATAGAACAGAAAAAAAAACAATATAACAGAATAAAATAAAATTTAACCGTTTTCTGAAATTCAAGTTTTGAATAGGGTAAATTTTAACAGAATAGAAAAAAAATAAATAGAAAATAAAAGGATAGAATAGAAAATAATAGAACAGAATAGCAAAAAGAATAGCATAGAATAGAATAGGATAAAATAAAATAGAAAGAAATTTCAGATAGAATAGATTTGAATAGAATAGAAAAATAATAGAAAAGAATTTAAAAAAAAATAGAATAAAATAGAAATAATATAACCGTCTTCCGAATTTTAAATAGAATCGATTAGAATAGAATAGAAAAGAACAGAATAAAATAGAATATAACCGTCTTCTGACATTCAAATTATGAATAAAGTAAATTTGAGTTTGAATAGAATAGAATACATAGAAAAGAACAGAATAGAATAGAAAATGATAGAATAGAATAAAAAGAAAAATAGAAAAAACAATAGAATATAATAAAATAGAAAGAATATAACTGTCTTCCGAAATTCAAATTTTGAATAGAATAAATTCAAATTTGAATAGAATAAATTAGAACATAAAAGAATAGAATAGATCATAAAATAATAGAATAGAAAAAAATAGAATATAAACAACTGTCTTCCAATATTCGAATATCAAATAGAATAAATTAGAATTTGAAGAGAATAGAGAAAAACAAAATAGAATAGAAAAGAATAGAACAAAAAATAAAAGAATATTACAGAAAAAAAAATAGCAATATAATAGAAAGAATAGAACCATCTTCCAAAATTCAAGTTTCAAATAGAATAAATTTAAATTTGAATATATTAAATTAGAATAGAAATAATAGAATAGAAAAGAATAGAAAAAAAAAATAGAATAGAGTAAAATAGAATAAGACTATAACCATTTTCTCAAATTTGAATTTGAAATAGAATAAAATAAAATAGAAAGCAACAGAATACAATAGATAAGAATAGAATAGAAAAAACAATAGAATAGAATAAAATAGAATATAACTGTCTTCCAAAATCTGAATTTCAAATAGAATAAATTTGAATTCGAATGGTGATTCAAATTTTCAGAATTCTGCTGTATTGAATTCAATTCAGCGAAATTCAGACAAATCTAATTCAAATAAACCAAATGAATTCTGGAAACAAATTTAACTAAATGAAATTATTTAAATAACAAATTAAATGAAATGATTTTTTTCATTCTGCACGTCTAATTTTAAGTAAGGTAGATATTTGGGGTAGGCAAATATACACTATATTGCTGCCAAACGTATTGGGACATCTGCTTTTACATGAACATGAACTTTTGTGGCATCCCAGTCTTAGTCCGTAGGGTTGCATATTGAGTTGGCCCTCCCTTTGCAGCTATAACAGCTTCAACTGTTCTGGGATTTAGGAGTGTGTCTATGGGAATGTTTGACCGTTCTTCCAGAAAAGCATTTGTGAGGTCAGGCACTGATGTCGGACGAGAAGGCCTGACTCGTAGTCTCCACTCTAATTCATCCCAAAAGTGTTCTGTTGGGTTGGGGTCAGGACTCTGTGTAGGCCAGTCAAGCACCTCCACCCCAAACTCGCTCATCCATGTCTTTCTGGACCTTGATTTGTGCCCTGGTGCTCAGTCATGTTGGAACAGGAAGGGGCAATCCCCAAACTGTTCCCACATAGTTGGAAGCATGAAATTGTCCAAAATGTCTTTGTATGCTGATGTCTTAAGAGTTCTCTTCACTGGAACTAAGGGACCAAGCTCAACCCCTGAAAAACAACCCCACACCATAATCCCCCCCTCCACCAAACTTTACACTTGGCACAATGCAGTCAGGCAAGTATAGTTCTCCTGGCAACCGCAAACTCAGGCATTTCCATCGGAATGCCAGACAGAGAAGTATGATTTGTCACTCCAGAGAACACATCTCCACTGCTCTAGAGTCCAGTTGCGGCGTGCTTTACACCACTACATCCAATGCTTTGCATTGCACTTGGTGGTGTAAGGCTTGGATGCATGTGCTTGGCCATGGAAACCTATTCCATGAAGCTCTCTACACACTGTTGAGCTAATTTGAAGGCCACAAGAAAATTGGAGGCATGTAGCTATTGACTCTGCAGACAGTTGGCGGCTTCTGGCTAGCACTTTGTGACTGAGTTGCTATTGTTCCCAGTTGCTTCCACTTTGTTATAATCCCACTAACAGTTGACCGTGGAATATTTAGTAGCAAGCAAACTTCACTGATGGACTTATTGCACAGATGGCAACCTATCACAGTACCATGCTTGAATTCACTGAGCTCCTGAGAGCGACCCATTCTTTCAAAAATGTTTGTAGAAGCAGTCTGCATGCCTAGATACTTGATTGTATACACCTGTGGCCATGGAGGTGATTGGAACACCTGAATCCAATGATTTGGAGGGGTGTCCCAATACTTTTGCCAATATAGTGTATTTCAAAAAACTCTATAATTGTGTTTTGATGCAAGTATGTCACACCCAGTGTTATGGTTTAGCTATAACAGTTTAGCTGTCTACCAGTCCCACCTTTTCAAGGCCTCTTATACAATCAAATGTGCTCACTATACAAAAAGAAGGGAGCTAACTATTATGTAAATTGTAGCTTGCAGTTAAAGGTTGGCATCCGATACATGTATTATAGGGAAAACTATTTAGCAACATTGCAATATAATTATTCACTTACATTGCTCCATTATAAAAGTCTAAAAATGAGATCTAGTTTTGCTAAAGCATGAAGAGAGGTGAAATATGAAGTGGGCACAAATATCTAGACATGTCCATTGCATTATAAAAAAAATAAGCTGTTAGTAAATAATATTTATTATTAATGTGGCTCTGAAATTGTCAAACAGCAACCCATTTTTCGCATAGGAAGAGACACTTATCGAGGAGTTGCAGACTGGACTAGAAAGCTAATTAAAGCCCAATTACAATTTCAGTTTAAATCAATTAAAACAATTCCAGGTGCATCAAATGAAAAGTTTGCAAAGTCTTACAGCTTTTTTAAGCAGCTACAGCCTGAAAAGCCTGGTACCTGGCAGCACACTGCAGATAAGGATTCCTGCCCCTGTGGAAGCAGTGGTCTCTCTGAGGGAGAGCTCTAGCTCTGACTCAGCAATGAATATGTCAGCATTCTGCAGCAAACCATCACTTCCAACTTGTAACTTGTATACTCATAACAGTTCTAATAGCTGGGAATTAAGTTGGCACACATAGGTTAATTCTAATATTCTTAAGGGTAATTGTTTACTGCCATCTAGTGGTTGTTCAGATTGTTACATTCTTCTAATGTAGCACAGGACAGCATCTATAATATACTGTATTTTATTGCCATATTGTTTCCATAAGTGATATGATCTCTCCTAAGACCCATTACGTACAGTATTGTGCACGTTGTACAACAATTATATGATACTTGCTAACCTAGTACTGTCATCTAAGATAAAAATATATATATTGTCATACAATGAGGGATAAATACTTCATTACTGAGACATAAAAAAAAAACTTACCTAAAAACCAATTAAATTACTGATAAAAGAAAATTAAGTCAAAATCTACATTGAGTCCATAAGGTATTAGTGTTTTTGCCTCAAAAATCCATATGGACTCCTTTATTTAGTTCTCTTTTTATAGTAGAACCCCCTATGCTTCTGTGATATTACCCTAAAAATGTAATCCTTCTGGATTTTTATTGTGATTTTGAGAAAAATGTCTGGATACATAATATTTTTTAAAAACTGTTGAGATATTGTACACATGCTCCCTACTTTTTTTCACCAGGGTTCTAGTGGTGCGTCCAATATACTGCAGTCCACATGGGCACTGCAACATGTATGCCATCCCTTCTGTATTTTTTTAGCTTTGACTATATGTTTATGTGAGCATAATTTGACCTTACTGAGCTTCTCCTTAGTAAAATGGGCCTTATGCATCATCATCATCAACAACATAAAGTAAAATGGCATTATGAATGTAGTACAGGGGCGGACTGACAACTCATGGGGCCCCCGGGCAATAGGGGATCATGGGGCCCCTGTGTCCTTGCCCACACTCAAAAAAGCCTATGAAAAAGGTACCAAGGGCATCTCATGGGGCCCCTACTGACCCTGGGCCCTCGGGCAGTGCCCGAGTTTCCAAATGGTCAGTCCGCCCCTGATGTAGTATATATGTGATTGACAACACAGTGATCTGTAATGTAAACAAAAGCCTGTGTTACACCCTTACAATCATTTCTTTTTAGCAAGGGAATACTGGGAACCTTTGGCTTAGGTGGAAAGCACGACCCACTGGTTATTTCATAGTAGGAACAATTTCCTGTGAATTAAAATGGCAACCACAAAGTGTACTGCAGTGAATGGTGGTGTCACGGTATGGGAGCCTGCCAATTATTAATCCCCTTATTAATGCCTTGTATCACATGCCCTCAGCGTCCTGCTCTGTATTGTTCCAATTGTCCCCTGTGTCACTGGCCTAATGGTCTAATTAAATTACTCTGGACCCCTCCTCCCTTCCCCCTCATGCCAAATTCCTGAACTCTCTGAACAGGACCCATTGCCATGGTAACCCGACAGGAAGTATCAGGTTACCAGCTCAATACTTAAGAGAGAGCAAGGAAACCCCCCTGTGTGTTCTCCTGGCTGGGTGTGTGAGGGACGGCTGTGCTGAGCGCCAGCTCCTCTCATCCCCCGTCCTCCTCCTCATCTCCTGGACTGTCTGTGTTGCCTGCAATCCCTGCACTGTGGAGGAATCTTCTGCTGTCCCCGTGAATCTGCCTGGATCTATCCCCAGCCTGGACTGAACCCCTTGTTCTCTGTGAGTACCTGCTTCCTCACTGCTACCTGAACTGTTACGGTGGTGACTCCTCGCACCCCTCTCCTGTGTCGGACTACCCCTGTTACAGGGACACCCCCTTGGCTCTCCTAGTGGACTATAAGTGGGTGGGGACCCTCGTTACCATTGAGTGGCAAATCACCCTGTCTGCCACCCCCGTATTGAAGGACTGCCATCTGTTTGTCTCAATAAAGCTTTGTGCATCTGTCATCCTCTCTGTGTGTTCTGTCCTGCCTTTCCTCCGTCACAGGTGGCCATGGTAATAGTTGGGGTTTCATGAACAAACTGGATAGTAGGCCCTTTGTGCTATCTGGATGTTTGGAGAAGGTTTGAGCCCTAAAAAGGCCTGAGGCTTAGAGTCTAGGTACATGCCATTAGACCTTCACCAGAGTACCATGCAAGGAGCAATGGACTCTCCTGGTGGGTGAACCAGGTTGCAGCCCTGAGGTAAGCTGCTGGAGATGACGGCTGAGCAGGGAAAGATTCAGAGCTTGGTTCAGAAACAGGGATAGGACAAAGATCAGGGTGGGAAGTAATCAAGCACAGTCATTACCCGGTCTCTGTACGGCACACTCCCAACACAAAGGCAGGAACGCAAATTGGCAGCCCCACGGAAAAAAGCCCAGTCCAGTGGGGCCCCTAATTTGCGTGCAATTGGCATGAAGGGGTTAATATTTCTGCCCTATGAGAATGTCCTTTCTTTTTTGTATCATTGAATTCACCATGCCAATTATCCTTTAATGGAGGAATCATTCAGAATACACATTATAATGCATTATAATCATGCATGTATAATTAAATAGACTGTGTGATATAATTCCGAATTAATTACCAATACATTCATTATGGACTTCCTTTAACTGAATTTTATTTGTGTCTTTGATGGTCATTTTGACTTGGCTAGGCAATCTTTCAAATTATGTTCATATTAGCAGTTATGTTTAGTTAATGTATTCGAACTTCAGCAGGGTGACCTTATCTTAGTTTTTGATTAAATTAATATTTATGGTATTTAAAATTTTTAGAGTGAATGCACAGGGTCCTGGTATTTACAGAAGCATAATCTTGTATTGCATTTCCTCCCCAGTTGGGGTCTATTAATATGTTATTATTCATTCTGTACTGTGCAGTCAGTGAGTATTAATGTTTGTATTTATTATAAAGCCAACATGAAAAAGTAATTTTCAAAATGTAGGTCATTTAGTTCTCCCGTTGAGTCATTGAGTTGTTTCATTAAGTGTCATTTCAAGTGTATCTAAACCCAAGAACAAAAATGTTTTATATTGCAGTTTACAAGTTTTTAGATGTGGTGACCATATTAGATTTTTAAACTTTTGTACAAGTGCAGAAAAATACCTCTTATCAATGTCAGAGATTGTGGGTCCTTGTAACTTCCTGTGGACCAAACGAAAATTTCAAATAATATTAGCAGCTTTCTCCGCTGTCTTCTATGTACCACAGAGCAATCCCCCTCTGTGGTAGAGATGAGGAGAGGGAGCAGGTGTTTGTAGTCCAATTTAGAAGTATACCCTAGGGTGGCAATACTGCTTCTTCATAGATACAGTACATTGTCATTTTAGGACAGGGTTATTGTTAGAATCATCAGGTAAGCTTACTGAAAGAAACCTGAGAAAAGTAAACTAGTGTAGCCTTCACATCTAAAAATGGTAAACTGCAATTGTTTGGATACAAGGGTTTGGATGCACTTTAATACTTTAGTGAATATATCATAGCCTTTCTTCATGCTATATGGTAGTACATGTAATTCCAGATATTATCAGTGTGTGATTTTGTTATTTAACGCTGAACTCTGGACAGTAATAAAATACATGTACAGGTCATTTTCTATCTGCTGTGCATTGTGCTGTCCATGTTAACTGATTAATAGTTGTTAAGGCAATTAGAGTATATTAGGAATTGCTGTGATATCATCTAGTGCTTCTTAAGCTGTTCTCCTGCTGCACCATCTTGGAAGAAGAATTTTCAGAAGAATTACGTCACAAAGGACAGAAAGACAGAAGAATCACATCAGACAGTATGCAATGCTTAGAAAACTATCTCACCCAAGACCCGATGGGTGGAAAAAAAAAGAGGTAGTTTTCAACTGCAGGATCCTCCTAAAGCAGGTGGGAACTGAGTTATCAATGGACAGTTTGGTGACTAGTCACCTAGCACACCAGCAACTGGTGGAATGAACAGTCTCCTTTACAGGATTAAACTTCTTTAAAACTCTTTCCAGTCCCCAGTTTACAGAGACTTTTCTACATATTGGCATTCCATCTGAATGTAAAATATCCTTTTTTAATTATTGTGCTGTTTTTTCTTTTTCTTTCTGTCTTACTTTTTTTTTTATATTGAATTCACATAACTGGAATTCATGTTTATTTAAGCACAATCGGGTTTTATGAATTCATTTGTGTTTAATACTTCTAACTCATAACAATTCATTCTTTAACAATGATGCCTGGAGACTTCAAGGTACATTTTGTACCCATATACAATAACTGTATTGTTAAAGCTGCTCTTTCTCCTCGCAGGAAGAAAAGAATTACAGTGTTGTCTTCAAGAATCTATTTCAGTCATTGCAATAAATGTGGCTATTAACTGGCCTCTAGCAAATATGTTATTTTATGTAATAAAATCAGTTATAGTTAAGTAGATAGGAAAGCTAAAGCATTAAAAGGAACATTTCAAGCACTGAATAACAGTTTTTTTTTCAATACCAACTGATTGCGAGTTTCAGTACAGAAATAATGGTGCTTTTGAAAGGATATAGGTGACATAGCCACCCTGGGTTCTTCCAGCAATGACATGTCGCTATTATCTTAAACTATTGTTTTATAAAGTACAAAATCCCCATGATTAGATTTATTCAGACACAGATCAAGCTTCTAAACCCATGTTTGCTTTAAAAATCTACCAGGTTGAAAAAATAAACAATCTCCTGACTGGCTATTTAAATCAAATATAGGTTCAGTGACCAACCTTTAATACAGCATTGTCACACCATATTAACCCCCTAAAACAAATCTTAATGTCTATGTAGCACACCCTTGGGTGATGCTTGGCTAGATATATAGGTTCAGCTCCCACCTAATCTGGTGACACCTCCGATTATACCCAGAACACTTCGACACTCTGAGAATTTTTTATGGGTTTTATTGAAGAAGACAAAGCCTGAAAAAGAACTAGTTGATTTAACACAGGTAATGTACATAAAACACACATACCACTTTGCATAACACAGTTAGTAAGAAGTCACAATTCACTCGCCAAAGACTCAAAAAAACTGACTAGTATCACACTGACTAGGGTGACATATGCGAGTGACATTGACACATGAAACAATAACTGTTAATGAGATTTAGCAGCTTATTGACATTTGCTATAGCAGTACTATCTAAAGCAGAAATGTCCTACCTAACCACTGGCCAGTGAGATGAAACTTAAAGTCTCTCAATGTTGGGGCCCTTTAATCAATGGAAGAGCACTCACTCTCTGCATGGGAGAGTATTTGTAATCCAGGGGTAGCAGGATAGCACAGTCTCCTTTAAGCAGAATCTTCCAGTGAACATTGCAATAGGAAACAACAACACTTCAACAAATTTTTACCATACAGGTGAAATCCTGATGTACTGACACTTGCTCAGTATATTTAAAGCAGCAAGCTTCTGTGGGGATTTGGAACTAAAACACACTCTTCAGCTGCAGCACAAGTTTTGAGGAGACAATCACCAGTAATATACAGAGACAGAGTTCTCTCATCAATCATCAGCAGGAATAGCTAATTCTGAGCAGCTTGGGCTTTCCAAGATCTGTGTCACTCTAAGAATTAGAGAGCAGGCTTTCTCATGACCATTCTCCAGAGATGAACAGCAAATGCAGCTATATCAAAATCTCCTTTCATCACAGAATACTCACTGTTTCTGGATTGTCCTCTAGATAGCATTAGACAGTAGTAGAAATCCTCTCTCTTTCAGCAGCTCCAGACTTTGAGAGACACATGCACTTTAGTGGCTGTAATCCTGAGTGTCAGGCAGGACAATCCTTGATTTGCACACTGTCCTCCTGCAACAATTCCTCTGCTACACACTCCCAGCCCAGCCCAGGGGCTCTAGCAGCACAGAGAGTGAGACTCTTGTGACTTTACACCAGGAGCCCTTGCTCCATGCGGTCCCCTGAAAATGTCTCCCTCCCCACATGTGTTTCTTCTTCCTTTTCCCTCCGTCCTTTTCCTCCACAGCCAATCATAAGTTCAGCTACAACAGTGCTGCTATGGGTGGATCCTTCTCAGCTGCAGCAACCACCAATCAGAGCACAGTCCTGCTTTTCCTGTCTGTCACTCACAACGAGGAAAAAGAAAAAAATGCTTTGCAAGTGCTGTTTAAGATTTAAAGCAACCAGCACATCTCTACATCTAAATACAATTTGTCAACTTTGGCATCTGTTGGTAAAACCATACATATCATCATAACTACTTAGTGTATCCAGGTAAATGATAACCTGTTTTCTTCAGGACAGATTGGGCCTTCATCTAACCTTAAATGTTTTTCTTCTCAAAGGAAAACTGGCCCAGAATCTCTGACTTTTGACCTTGACCATAACCTTGATACTAACAATGACACTAACCTAGATTCAGAATATAGAAAGGAGTGCCAGACCAAAGTCCAGGATAATTTTTATTGTTGATAAAAAAGTAATTAAAAAAGCCAAATGTGTTTCGGGGGCAACACCACTCCTCTGTCATTAGGGCTACAAGATTAAGCAAACAACACAATCATAATGATGAACTCTTATGTCTAGATATGCTTATGAGTATACACCACAAAATCTAGAACATCACATAATAACATATAATACTATGTGAGTGCTGCCCCACCAGAGCTATTGAGATTGTTTGAAGTTTTCCTTCATCTACAGTAGCTACACTTGCAAGTCTAAAACTTCCCAGCTTCTCTTTGAGTATGCTGTTCTGGAGTACTAACCTAGATCAAGCCCTGATCTAGCTGATATATATATATACAGTATATATATATATATATATATACTGTAAATATTGTGCCATTATGAAAAGCGAGGTGATTGATGGACGCTATGGGGGAGATTTACTAAAGCTGGAGAGTGCAAAGTCAGGCTCACTTATGCATAGAAACCAATCGGCTTTCAGGTTTTATTATCAAAGCTTATATGAACAAGCTGAGGTAACAAGCTGATTGGTTTCTATGCAGAAGTGAGCCTGATTTTGCACTCTCCAGCTTTAGTAAATAAACCTATATGTGTCACCTTGCATGCGTTCATATCTGGGAGACTAAAGTGGAGTCTAGTCCGGGTTTTCCAGGCCACTTTGGCAGAGGTGGTTCTGGATTTTGTGGTCCACTGATGACCACCAACAGGTGGTATAAATCAAGCAGGACTGGAGCAAGAAGTTGCACTTGGCCTGGGACTCAGAGAGCCATACCTTAGAAGGCTGTGGATGAAAGTTTGTGCTGTACAAGAAAGGAAAAGGTTTGCATACTGTTTTGTTTTTGTTGATGACAGGGAAAAGCCCTTCACCTGTGAGATAGGAATCTCTTCTGGTTAGTTAGTGCCTGGATGGTCAGGGTTTATTTTCTGTTCTGTTTTATTTATGATGCTTGCAACCTTTTAAATAAAACTGGCTACAAGTCAGATTTTAAGGAAGCCCTGCCCTTTGGACTACCTTTTTCCCAGAGAAGGTGATCCCCCACCTGAGCTAACCCCCAAAATATATATATATGTATATACACACACTATATTGCAAAAAGTATTGGGATGCCTGCTTTTACATGCACATGAATGTAATGGCATCCCAGTCTTAGTCCTTAGGGTTCAATGTTGAGTTGGCCCACCCTTTGCAGCTATAACAGCTTCAACTCTTCTGGGAAGGTTGTCCACAAGGTTTAGGAGTGTGTCAATGGGAATGTTTGACCGATCTTCCAGGAGCACGTTTGTGAGGTCAGGCACTGATGTCGGACGAAAAGACCTGGCTTGCAGTCTCCGCTCTAATTCATCCTAAAGGTGTTCTGTCAGCTTGAGGTCAGGCCAGTCAGGTTCCTCCACCCCAAACTCATTGTTCCATGTCTTTATACACTTTGCTTTGTGCACTGGTGCACAGTCATATTGGAACAGAAAGGGGCCATCCACAAACTGTTCCCACAAAGTTGGAAGCATGAAATTGCTCAAAATGTCTTGGTATGCTGGCGTCTTAAGTGTTCCCTTCACTGGACCTAAGTGGCCAAGCCCAACCTCCCGAAAAACAACCCCACATCATAATTCCCGCTTCACCAAACTTTACACTTGGCACAATGCAGTCAGGCAAGTACCGTTCTCCTGGCAACCGCCAAACCCAGACATGTCCATCGGATTGCCAGAGAAGTGCGATTTGTCAATCCAGAGAACACATCTCCATTGCGCTAGAGTCCAGAGACGGTGTGATTTACACCACTGCATCCAACGCTTTGCATTGCACTTGGTGGTGTAAGGCTTGGATGCATGTGCTTGGCCATGGAAACCTATTCCATGAAGCTCTCTACACACTGTTGTGCTAATCTGAAGGCCACACCAAAGTTTGGAGGTCTTTAGCAATTGACTCTGCAGACAGTTGGCGACATACACACTGTGTGCTTTGGTATGCACTGACCCCACAATGTCATCTTACATGGCCTACTACTTCATGGTTGAGTTGCTGTTGTTCCCAATTGTTTCCACTTTGTTATAATACCGCTAACAGTTGCCTGTGGAATTTTTAGTAGCAAGGAAATTTCACGGACGGACTCATTGCACGGGTGGCAATCTATCACGGTACCACTCTTGAATTCACTGAGCTCCTGAGAGAGACCCATTCTTTCACAAATGTTTGTAGAAGCAGTCTGCATTCCTAGGTGCTTTATTTTATACACCTATGGCCACGGAGGTGATTGGAACACCTGAATCCAATGATTTGTTACACTGAGTTCAGGCCAAACAGGAAATATATTTAAGGGCTCGTTGGGCAACTTTTACACAGTTCAAACAAAACAGCTGCCTTTGCAGGGGGAGCAGGCTGTCAGTATTGCATCAGTTCAACAAATTATTCAGCCTCCTGGCAAACAAAACTTTATCAGCTCGGTCTCTGCCCAGACTCACCCTGCAGTCTCCATTCGCTTTCAAGCTTTTTCAAGTGATAATACCAAAATGCATCCTTCAGGAACTCAACTCTCTTCTCCTTCATATGGAGTACTACAAGACCTAACTCAAAACTGACCTCACTGCAAAGGTCTAAAGTGAACGCCAGAATGGCTCTGCCAGATGTTTTTTTCAAATTACTTGGTAGGACAAATTAAACATTCATTCACATGGGTTCTCCCTGATGTTGCCCATACCCCAGAGGAACACTTGGTACATAGGCTGGAGACAAGATTGTTAATTTTCCAAGAGGCCCCGAAATTATCCCTTCACAAACATCAACTGCCCATTTTCAAACAAACTATATCAGGGTGGTCTGAAATTAAACACTTAGAGGTTGATTTACTAAAACTGGAGAGTGCAAAATGTGGTGTAGCTCTGCATAGAAACCAATCGGCTTCCAGTTTTTGTCATGCTTAATTGAGCAAGCTGAAGTTAGAAGTTGACTGGCTATCATGCACAGCTGCACCAGGTTTTGCATTCTCAAGTTTTAGTAAATCAACTTAGTCTCATTTCAGGCTCTTTCAGATACAGTCTGTTAGTGTGGAACAACCTTATATCAGAACAGCTTGGTACTGTTCTGACACGACTTTATGGTGATCCCATTGCATTTTTACCCACTCAGATGTTTATCAGGAGGACACAATGCACTCATTCAAACAATTACAAGAAACATGAACTGCCCTGCATTTTTGTCTATTGATTTATACTTTATGGTATTGAAGCACTATTTAGAGACCATAATAAGCCCATCTATAACTGGCTAAATGGCAAACCCTAATCCAAACTATCTATTGTGAAATGGGATGATATTTGTTCCTCATAAACTCCTTTTCAATCTGTAGCGCAGTAATTTTCTGTGCAATCCAATATGGCAACCTGGGGTGTTTAGTATGCAGTTGGTGTACGGAATCCCACTGCTTGTTTGATTGGCTCACTGATTTTCCCAGAAGTCTGAACTAAGATACAAGTCTGATTATAGGTATCCTCTGCAACAAAAATGTCAATTTTGGTGAGATGCTACTAAAGAGTTTTCACAAAAGGAATGCAAACCCAGCCACTCTCCCCATTAGAGCCCTGAAAACGCATCAGCTGATCAAAAATGAAAAAGTCACTCCTATTCAGAATCAGTCCTACACAATACATGATCTAACAAAGAGCTATTCCTTCAGAGAAGGTAGGAATCCAACAGTTTGTTAAAATCCTTGTAATGTACATTGCTCTCCCAGAGGTGAATGTTTTTTTTTTTGTTTTTTTTGTTCAACAAAAGTGGATTTACTCTTTAAGCAACAGTTTGATAAAAAGTTTAAACACCAATAAGAAAAAAAGCTGATTGATGTAAGCACCTTGGCAGTGTAATATGGTTTGCCCCATCCATAACTAAAACGTTTGCTGGAAGTAGAAAAATAATTGATCTACAGGCAGGACCAGCAAGTAATAAAAATGTGTTTTGGGGGAACTGCTGTGTTAGTCCTAGACACAGGCTGCATCATATATTGCATTTTCTTTTATTAGGGCGATAGTTCCACTTCCAAAATAAGAGGTTGATTTATTACCACACTGTGTCTGCATGTTATTGTTCATAAACAGCAGAGCATACTGTAGAGTTGTGTGATGAGGTCCCTGTCCCACAACTCCCTATTTGCCTTGCATACACCTGCCATGACGGGCGCAAGGCGGTTCTCTTGTTCTGGGAGGACGTCATATGACGTCCTCCCACTCTAACCGCACATGTGCAGCTCCAGGAGCGCGCAGTGCAGCGATCGTTGGTGTGCTGTGTCCTTCGGACACAGAGGATCACCGATTAACGGAAAGAGCCGAAGATGTCGGCTCAGTCATGTGATCAGCTGTGTCCAATCACAGCTGATCGCATGTACTGTAAATAGGGAAATGCCAGTTATTGGCATTTCTCTCCTCACGAGCTGTCACGCTGACAGCTCCAGAGGAGAGGAGAGCCGGTAATCGGCATTCCTCAGAGGGGACAGTGTGCCCTGATGATCAGTGTAGCCCCAGCAATGCCACCTGTCAGTGCCCATCAATGCCAGCTGTCAGTGCTCATCAATGCCACCTGCCAGTGCCCATTAGTGCCTTATCAATGCCACATATCATTGCCTACCAGTGCACATCAATGCCACCTATCAGTGTCCATCTGAGCTGCTTTTCAGTGTCACCTATCAATGCCAGTCAGTGCCACTTATCAGTGCTGCAAATCAGTGCCACCTATCAGTGCCAGTTAGTGCCGCCTATCAGTGCACATCAGTGCCATCTATCAGTGCCTGTCAGTGCTGCCTATCAGTGCCGCCTAACAGTGTCAGTCAGTGCCACCTAACAGTGCCAGTCAGTTCTGCCTATCAGTGCCACCTATCAGTGCCGCCTATCAGTGCCATATATGAGTGCCCAACAGTGATGCCTGTCAATGCCCATCAGTGCCACCTACTAGTGCCTCTTCATCAGTGTCCATCAGTGCCACCTATCAGTGCCCATCACTGCAGCCTAATTAGCGCACATCAGTGAAGGAGAAAAATCACTTATTTACAAAATGTTATAACAAAAACTAAAACTTTTTTTTTTCAACATTTTCAGTTGTTTTTGGTTTGTTTAGCAAAAAAAAATCCCAGAGGTGATTAAACACCACCAAAATAAAGCTCTATCTGTCTCAAAAAAATTATAAAAATTTCATATAGTTACAGTGTTGCATGACTGCGCAATTGTCCTTCAAAGTGTGACAGCACTGAAAGCTGAAAACTGGCCTGGGCAGGAAGGGGGTATAAGTGCCCTGTAGGCAAGTGGTGAAAGACCAAGTCCCCACTTCAATCCATTGTTGTTACATGTCTTGGCAGGGTGCTCTAATTCTGATTGCTGCCCTAAAGTTCCGGCTCTGACATGATTAGTCATAGCCGGCAGACAGACGTTTGCGACTGGAGGTACCTACTTGCCATTAACTATGTTGAAGGACCCAGTGAAAAGGGGGGGGGGGGGGGGCTGGGGAGGTAATAATTGTGCACTCTACCACTACTGAATCTGGAGGGGATTTATAATGGTTAACATAGTCACCAATGAAGCTGAGCAAAGGAGAGGGCTTGTAATTATACTGTACTGGCATCAATGAAAATGGGGAAAGGGGTGTTATAATTACACTGCCACCAGAGAAAAAGAGGGAGAAACCATTACAGCAAATGCAAGAAGAAACTTTGTTCTTAAATCCCACAATTGGGAAAAAACTTTTGCTTTGGAATTCCTACCAGGGGTTTGTTTTGCTCTCTGCCAGCTAGGCCTTGGCCTACAACACTGTGCTTTTTTGCACCCATGCTCAGGGGCGGACTGACCATTTGGAAACTAGGGCACTGCCTGAGGGCCTGGGGTCTGTAGGGAGCCCCATGAGATGCCCCTGGTACCTTTTTCATAGGCTTTTTTTTAGTTTGGGCAAGGACACAGGGGCCCCATGATCCCCTATTGCTCGGGGGCCCCATGAGTTGTCAGTCCGCCCCTGATCATGCTGTTAAAACTTGTTCACCTGCGGAATAGGTTCCTGATCATGGCCCTCCCACCTCTACTAGTTCAAAACTTGATATTTCTGTTACTTGTTCTGAGCCAGTAAACCAGAAGGTGCTGTATCCAAACAAAACAAAAGGAAACTCCTGCGCTACCTCAGTGAGATTTGAAAATAAATAATAAAATAATAAAGTGAAGAGCTGCTGCTAGCATTAGAAATTGTGTTCCCACAATCAAACCATAAAAATACATAAACTCAATGCTGCACTGCTAGTGTACAGGATTCAAATCTAAATCATCAATACAATTGAGTGAAAATATAACATACACAAATCATAATAATAAAGTGTCCATAAAAGCAAGTCCATGTAAAAAAAGTGATTCAACAGTAAAATTCTTCACAACTTTATAAGCTTCTTCACGTGCTCATTTAACCAACACCATCAAATGAAGTGCTGTAAAACATGCAGGTTCTGTCACCTTGGTGGTCACAGAACTCTCACCTTAGAGCACTTAGATTGCGCTTTATAATAACAAGTACGCAAAGGTTCTTCCACTCTCCCAGACACCCTTTTTCCTTACAATAAATCACCAAACCAAAGAAAAGAATGGTCCCTTTAAAGATGATTTGAGGTCAGAGATGCCTACTCTTATGCATAGGAAATAAAGGACACTCCGATGGTGCAGTATGTACTAACAAGTAGACTTTATTAACCATTTGCCAACCGCAGATAGCCAAATGACAGCTTCACCACGGCCAGCCAGTTCTGGGAGGGCATCATATGACGCGCTTCCAGAATGCTCCCTATCGCACTGCCCCGGGGGCGCGCGCACCTGGCGATATCCATGATCGCGTGATGTGGAAAAAGGGCAATCACAGCAGCCTTTTGCCACATGATCAGCTGTGTCCAATGACACAGCAAATCACCGGTAAATGCAGTTGCCGTTTATCGGTTGCACTTTCCTCACGCTGTCACAGAGTGAGGAAAGTACTGCCGATAACTGCCAATTGTCAGAGAACTGATCAGCACCAATCATCAGGGCACTGATGATCAGTGACCTGATAAGTGCCCAGCAGTGTCACCCACCAGTGCTGCCCATCTGTGCCCAGCAGTGTCACCCACCAGTGCCGCCCATCAGTGCTCCCAAGCAGTGCCACCATTCAGTGCTTAGCAGTGCCGCCAGTCAGTGCCGCCAGTCAGTGCTGCCCATCAGTGCCGCCTATTAGTGCCCATCAGTGCCACCTATCAGTGTCCATCATTGTTGCCGCATATCAGTGCACCATCATCAGTGCCGCCTCATCAGTGCCAGCTTATCAGTGCTGCCCATCTGTGCCACCTCATCAGTGCCACCTATCAGTGCCCATCAGTGCAGCCTCATCAACACACATCAGCGAAGGAGAAAAATTACCTGTTTGCAAAATTTTATAATAGAAACAAAGAAAAACGTTTTTTTTTTAAATATTTTGTTTATAGCGCAAAAAATAAAAACACCCAATGGTGAGTACATACCACCAAAAAAGCTCTATTTGTGACAAAAATTCTAAAAATTTTCTATGGGTACAAAGTTGCATGACCACGCAATTGTCATTCAAAGTGCGACAGCGCTGAAAGCTGCCTCGGCACGAATGGGGTGTAAGTACCCGGTAGGCAAGTGGTTAAATGGTAATACACTCACATGTATATAAAGGTAAAAAAACGGCGATCAGAACAGATTCCTACTGTGCGGGAGTGGTTTCATAGGGTCATCAGAGTTGCGGAGATGGAGGAATTGATTTCAGTGACAAGAGACCACCCTGAGAGATTTCGGAAAACTTGGGCGTGTTGGAAACACTTCCAAACTACCAATTTCTACAATCTCTATATGAATAACTAAAACTAATCTACAGGTCGTGAATACCGTTCAAAGTTATCACCTCTGGAATAGCGCCGCGGACCGTGTTTATCGAAATGTATGTTAAGTCCTAAGGATAATACCTATTAGCTTGTCTACTATATTATATTATGGTTGGCTTATTAGCTATTACCTATTACTTGATCCATCCTTCCCTTCCACTTCCTTCCCACCTCTCCTCCCACCTCTCCCCCCCCCCCCCCCCCCCCCCTCCCCCCCCCCCCCCCCCCCCCCCCCCCCCCCCCCCCCCCCCCCCCCCCCCCCCCCCCCCCCCCCCCCCACCCCCCTCCCCCCCCCCCCCCCCCCCCCCCCCCCCCCCCCCCCCCCCCCCCCCCCCCCCCCCCCCTCCACCGCCCCCCCCCCCCCGTCCCCCCCCCCTTTTTTTTTTTCTCACTCCTCCCTGTGCTCTCTAAATCTTCCTCCATATACAGTACTCTCCTCTTTTTCTTTTATCTCTTTTCTTTCCTTTTGTCTCATATTTCTCTCTTAAACAACTATTTCTACATACAAGCAGAAACTTAACTTAACCGGGTGCGGAATTACACGAGGCGTCCGCCTCAGACATCAATGCTGTTTTTTGCTCCACTACCCGATTACTTAAGCGCTTTTACCCCCGACACTTGCATCCTCTATATCTCTATTGCTTACCATCCATATTTGCGAACCTGTTATTCTACTTTGTTTACTGGGTAGCGTGATCTCCTGTTTATGTTTTACTGCATACTTCAATTACATGTCTGACTACCCGTCTGCGTTACGGGAGATTGCTTCAGTTATACGTGTGCAGAATGTGTTCCGTACATGTCTTTAATCTCAAATGTCTTGTATTTCAATAAAAATTTTTGGAAGAAAAAAAAAAAAAAAAAAAAAAAAAAACTCATGAAAACATTAATTATCTTTTGACATAAAACTTACTGCACTTAAAAACCAAAGTGCTACGTAAGTTCTTTATGATTATATTCTTGAATGTTTTGTTTGTTTTTACAAAATTTTTATTGTTTCATGATTTATTACCTAAAGGTAAAAAAACACCATTAAAATGGTTTGGAATCACCAAATCCAGGCTGAGCTTCCGCATGCATCACATCTGGTTCATGTCTGCCTAAGGCCACGCCCTTACGCATTACGTCACGCCCACATGACTTCATCAGAGGTATCAAAGTATCTGTATGATAGCCAGGTAATGAGAATTTGAGGAAATTGAGGTTACCAATGGCAACCTATTTGTTTCCGCCTGTCACGTACCTGGTTGGGGAGCCTGATGTGGAGAGAGGGCGTCCTCTTACAACTCCCGCTCGAAACCCCTGAAAGTGGGAACAGGGGCGCGGAGCCAGGAGTGGCAGGAGTGCCGTGTAGATCTTGCAGCTGTCAGCAGGTAGCTGGAGACCTAGGAGATCTGGACACAAGCCAGGTGCGGGTGCAGGAATGTAGGTACAGCAGCAAGCAGATGTGGTGGCAGTCAGGGTGCGGGTCTTGGGACCGAGCACCAGTGCAGGATGCGGTGGCTGACAGGTATGGCGGTGATCCGGATGCAGGCCAGATGCAGAGCCGTGGGTGCAGCGGTAGGTGGATATGGTAGCTGACAAGATGCAGGTCAGGTGCAGGTGTAGGCAGAATAATACAGCAGGCAGGCCAAATCGGTAACAAGCGAGCAGATAAGTACAAGAGGAGCAGGCAAGAGAATGGTCAGGGATAGCCGGGGTCAGTGCAGGCGGAGTTCTTTCTTAATCGAGTAATACAGAATACAGGTATCAGGATCAGGAATGTATGCAGGAACGTAGTAGACCAGAAGGCAGTGATTTTACTATGAAGCAGGTTTAAATAGCCCGCCAGACGTGACGTGTGCGCTTACTGCACATGCACGAGTTTTCCGCGCTACCGCGCATGCACGGCTGCACGCTCCCACGCCTATGCCTGCGCACCGACAGGATCCCTGACACCGCCATGACAGTTGTATTTTAAAGCTATTGTCAGAAATGTATTTTCTGTGATTTGTTTTGCATTTTAAAGCAATTTTTTCATAAAAATAAGTGTAGCACTTTCATATA